GGGCCCCCCCCCCCCCCCCCCAAGCACTGAGAGGATTTGAGTAATTCTTTTTCTTTTTGCTTCTCAAAAAATATTTCTTATTTTCTGTAGAAAATTCCGTTTTCATTCCCATAGAGCAAAACACTATCATCTTTGTGCTCCACGGCAAACCTACCCGAAGTAAAATAACAAGTCGGCGTATCTGGGAGAACAGAATCAAAGAACATTACTGAAATTCGACCAGTGAACTATAGCGCTTTTGGATTCCACCACCCACGTTCATTAAATAAATTACCAAAGCCATCAATGGCATTCCCTTCGACTGGGCACTTTACGATTCCCGTTTCATTCTTGCTTTAGAATCGTTTTATCTTACAACAACGCCTATATTTATTTTACACTAGAGTTATGCAATTTTACGGCTTGTACCTTCGCCTTGTTTTGAACGTAGGATGCAAAGAATAGGTAGATATGCAAGATGGCAGAATGTAAAAATAACTGCGCCTTTTTTAATCAACACAAGTGTTCAGTCTTTGTTTGGAAAGGTGGTAGATATTTATCTTTTGTTAAACTGTAGCAGTCCGAAAACCACATTGTGTAGCAACCGGAAGCGTTTTGTACATATTTTGACCGTAGAATGGTTCCCATATTTTTCGTCTTTTTGTTTAATGATTGACTCAAATACTTATATTGCTCTCCTTTGTTACCAATCTGAAAGATAGTCATTTTTGGACTTCTTCATCCCGTCCATGAACAATTTGCAAGAAAAGTAGTAGAAAGTGACAAAATGCAAAGTTATTTCGTCTTAGCTTTGAACAATGAAAACTGCTGAGCTCCGCATCGGTCACATTGGCTAGATAAATTTCAAGTTTATCCGCGCATTCTTAACGATACTTTCCGCTCTAACCTCAGTGCTGACCCTTCCCACACAGAAGAAGTTATCAAGCACCTGCAAAACTCAGATTTAATGTCTGTAGTTGGTCCTGGTGGTTATCGTCTGCACTCCTGAAGTATGGTGCTAACAAACTATCGGATGTATTTACAGCTCCTGTTAATCAGTCCCTTCATATCGTTCCCATTCCCAATTCATGAAGACCTTTCATCTTTGCTCGTATCCGCAAAATGTTTATTTCAAACATTTTATCTAAACGTTTCCATTCAACTCCCACTACTTTCGAAACGTTAAAAGCAGTGAAGAATGTACTGTTCTTAGCCGTCTGTGTTCGCATTCAACTCACCTCATCCACGATCCTCCCCAGTTCGCATGCCAGACCAAAAGGTTCACCTTATACGCAGTATTCTGTGTCGTCCATTTCTTCACCAAGTCTCTAAATAATTCTGCCAAATCCGTTCGTCGTAAAAATCTTCATTATTCTTTGAGCAATTTTTGTCTACAAATTAAAGATATTTACATACCTAGAGTCCTTTCTTTCCTGTTTAAAAGATTATTCTGAGATAGCAATATCACTAGTGAGTTGGGTAGGAACTTACCTTTCTTTCAGTCCAATCTCTTTCATTGAATGATACAATGATACAATTTTAAACGAAGGAGAAGCGGCCAATCGAAGGGTTTGACATACAACACAGAATGAGAAAAGTCAAATGGTGGCGGTGGGATTTGAACAGTCGTTTTCCGAGGCGACATAATTTGGTGAGTTCTCGCGGTCAGCCACCATCGAACAAGACCAATTACGAAATTTTGTGTGCTGATAAATTCTATCCTTACCGCCTATTAGTTCAAAACTTACATTAGTGCTGTATCTGTTCTTTCGACAATTTAACTAATGAAATATCCAGAGGCTGTTGTTTTATGCCAATTCTTTTCCAACAATTCAATCTTTACTGAAGTCTTTTTTGAACAATAAAGGCCTAATCTCAATTTATCAAAAAACGTTTGAGTGTATACTTACTCAGTTTGGAACATCTAGTTTAAATAAACCTTCGCGTTTTG